TCGGCTCGCCCAGCGGTGGCTTCCGCGGGGCAGGAATGTGCGGGCCAGAACCTCCCCACGGAGGTGGTGAAGACGGGCTCTGCTGGGCTTTGGGGGCGTCCGTGCCTGCACCCCTCCGACAGGACTCCCTGACGTCCTCACCTGGGTCAGGATCCGGTGGGGGAAGAGAGTGGGGGCCCCCCTGGGCAGGGTGAGCGAGGGCCGGTGCAGTGATGCGCGCTGCCTGTCTGCTGCTCAGGTTTGGCTCCAGGACAGCCCTCCCCAGGCTGCTGTCCCACCTGCGGCATGTCCCGACGGGCCCCATCCGGCTGCCAAGCGTCTGGGCGAAAGGGCCCTCCCTCCCCTGGCTCCTGGGCAGCAGCGGGGGTGCTTCCAGGGCCTGCTGTCTCCCCGTCCTGCCCCCTTCCTCAGGCCACGGGGGAGGTGGCAGGGCGACGGGGACAGAGGGCTCTAGGCAGGGGTCTGTAGAGCCTTGGCCCCTCGCACAGGATGCCTTTTGCCAGGGACGTGGCATGGTTGTCACGACCCCCCCTCCCCAGGGGCTGCCCCCGGTGGCCTGGCAAGCTGGCACGGGGGTGGTTGCCCCTGGCTTCTCTGTCATATCAGAAACATTGCACTGTCCTGCCTCCCTTCTGGGCGTTCCAGGAGGCCCTCCTAAGGTGAGATGTGTTTGTGCAGGCCACTCGGCTCCAGCCTGAGGCTAGACTCAGGGCTTCCAATAGGTGAGAGGTGAAGGTAGGGCCCCCCAAAAAAGTGAGAGCTGAAAGCAGGGCTCCAGGTCTGAGGGCGCAGCAGCTCATCGGGAGAGGGTGGGGGGGGCGGTGGGGGGGGGGTGGGCAGTGATGTGAGGCTCTCACTGGGCAGCTGTGTGGAGAAGGGGCTGGCGATCTGGCAAGTAGAGGCCTGACTAGGATGCGGGAGGAAGCCCCCTGCCCCCCGCCAGCAGCACAGGGACTTGTGGGTGGGGTGATGGGCACTATCTTCGTGAGCCAGAGGAGGAAGCTGGGCGCCGCCTGCCCACAGCACTGTCTCTGTGGCAGCTGGTCCGGGTGCCGGAGGGGAAGCTGGTGGGGAGCTCACTGCTCAGCCCTGTGCCTCTCCACGTCTCCCACCTGAGCCCAGGCTGCTTCTGGAATTTTCTGTGAAGCAAGGCCTTGGGGCTGCTCCTGTCAGGAGCTTGTCTGCCTCCCTCCAGGGAATGGGTGGAATGGGGCTGCCCATGGCCCTGTGGGCAGTTTTCCTCAAGGCTGTGTTGGAGAGTTGTCCCTCTGCCACCTGCCCCTTCCCAGGCCCTGCAGCCTTGTCCATCCCATCCGACCCCAGTGCCCCCCCCACCCCCCGGTCCCCATCCTCACAGGCCCTGCCCGCTGTGTGTGCCACCAGCGGCCGCTCCAGCACTCTTGTTGAGGTCCCCGCTCATATTCATCTTGGGGTCCATCCACAGCTGAACCGTAGTCTCGCTGGGCCTCTCTAGGATGGGTGGGCCTTGGGAGCACAGCTCACTGCTTTTAGGGACCCCGGGCCGTCCACCCCTCTGGACAGGCACAGGCAGCCCTCACCAGGCCAGCTGTCCAACTGGCCTCAGTGGGGTTCTGGTCTCAGACTGGCTGCGGGTCTTGGCAGGCACACGGGTGTGGGAGGGGTAGCTGCGTGTATGCCACTGCCTGAGTGAGGGAAGCGTGTCCCTTTGGGAGCCGGTCTGGCGGGTCCTGCCTGTAGGGGTCCCATCAGCCTGCCTGCCCTTGCAGAGACTGGAGAAGAGCTGAGCCTGCGTGTGGGAGTAGGCCCACTCTTGGGGTACCAGAAATGTCATCCAGGATGGTCAGTCACCAGGCCCCGTCCCCCAATCTGGGCTCTCAGGACGAGGGGTGGGGGGAGCAGAGGATCAAGGTGTCCCTCTGTGCTTCTGGAGGGGGGGGGGGCTGTTGCTACGGCTTCCCTCTCCCCCCATGACCATGGGGAGTGGGAGGGTATGGGGCGGGGGAGCTGGCGGGAACCACACCCCCACAAGAGGATGGGGCAGGGACTGCACTGACTCACCCAGGCAGGAATTGGCCCATCTGCCAGGGCTGAGTGCACCCACTGTGACGGGTACCCTGCCCTGGCAGAACACGGGTCCAGTCCGTCACGGCCCTTGGGGTGCCTCTGGCTGAGGCTCCCCGTCTGCATGCCAAGCCGGGGTCTCTGGGCTCCTGGGCAGCACGGGGTCTGACTCCCGGCTTTGTTCCCACAGTCTGCAACTTCATGTCCCACGAGAAGTGCCTGAGGCAGGTGAAGACCCCGTGCACCAGCCTGGCACCCAGCCTGGTCCGAGTGCGTATGGACTGGGCTGCCATCCGGCCGGCAGGGCAGAGGGGTGGGAGGGGCCTGGGTGGTGCTGGGTGGGATAGCGGGGACAGCCTAGGGGCTGGGGTGGGGCCCCTCCCAGCAGCAGCCAGGCCTCACTGCCCACTGTGCTCACCTGTGCCCTCCACGCCCCAACCGGGCAAGGGAACAGACCTAGGGAAGTGGTCAGTGCCAGGGCTTCCTGGCAGCGGCTGGGCAGGGAAGGACCAGCGGGGTGGCCCGGGCAGAAGGGGCTTCCTGAGGTCGCAGTGGGGGGCCCTGCACAGAGAGTGGGGGGGTCCTGCGAGGCATCCCCGCAGAACCCCTCACAGCACCTTGGGAATGGTGTGCAAGGG